CGCTGCTAATAAAAATCGTTGCCTCCAGGCCGTAACAGCAAGAAGTTTGTCCAACGATGAGTAATTTTCTAAAATAAACCAGTCAATTTGAGCGGTTTGCGCAACGGAAATTTGGACGGACTTGTATTCCATGATTGTATCGGGATTCTTAAGCGCTGGTTGTGGCCAATTTGTTTCGGGACGTAACAGTCATTCTGGTCCATTCCACCATAGTGGGTGACGCATGAGTTGTTGTATAGTCGAGCCCCGCGAGGCGCAGTCTGCTGGGTTATCCGCTGTTCGTACATATCTCCAGTTGCTAACAGCAGTCAAGGCTTGAATTTGGCTTACTCGATTCGAGACTAATTCCTTCAGTGCCCCAGGATCGGACCGTATCCACCATATTGTTGTAGTCGAATCCGACCAAAAGTAAGTAGTTGCAGAGTCTAGATTTAGCGTAGTTTTTACCTTATAACATAATCGTGCAGCTAATACAGCAGTACAAAGCTCAAGCCGCGGAATTGTGACTTTTTTCAGGGGCGCTNACAAAGCTCAAGCCGTGGAATCGTGACTTTTTTCAGGGGCGCAACCCTTGTTTTGGACATTAGCAACTGTATACTCACCGATCCTTTCGCCACGACCTTTAAGTACACTACCGCCGCATAGGCATGTGTGGATGCGTGAAATTCGTACGAATCCACTTCGTTTGTTATGTGGATCCAACGAGGAACTTGTATCTCAGGCACCAATTTAAGCTCGCTTCGAAACGCTAACCACGTCGCTTTTAGGTCGTCTGGTAGAATCTCGTTCCACTGTAGTCCGGTGAGCCAGAATTTTTGAATGAAGATTTTGCCTCGGATGATGATGGGGGCTAAAAATCCAAGTGGATCAAATAGCCTAGCAACATCAGACAACAATTGGCGCTTAGTGAAAATAGTAATTGTATAATCAATCTTTATCGAATAAGTCAGACAATCGGATTTAGTGGCCCATACTAATGTGTTGGCATGGTCATCAACTTGAAATTCATGTGATGCTTTTAATTCAAGATAAGTTGGCTCGATCGTTTGGATAGTTTCAGTCGAAATAGAATTCCACTTACGTAAAGTGAATCCTGCTGCTTGCAGTAACGTTTGGAGTTCATCCCGGCGTTTGCAGGCATCGGCAACGCTGTCGGCTACTGTCAATACGTCATCAACGTAAAATTCATGAATTAGTATCTTACCGGCGTCCGGAAAATTGTCTTGCTCATATGCCGCTAACGTGTGCAATACCTTGATCGCCAGATAAGGTGTGCAGTTAGTGCCATACGTAACTGTGTTTAAGCGATAATGTGACAGGTTCTCCTGACCAGCTGGACTCCACACAATACGTTGCAGATCTGCGTCTCGTTCATCTACCAAGATTTGGCGGTACATCTTGGTGATGTCTCCTGTTAATGCGACCCGATATCGCCGCCAGTTCAGCACAACCGCGGTTAGGTCATTATATAAACAATCATTTAACGATTTACCTGCGCTGCATCTTTTTGGCGCGTTGAACACGACGCGCAATTTCGTTGTTGAGCTGGAAGCCTTCCAAACTCCATGATGCGGAAGATAATATACCGGTGATGTGCAACTGGTGTCATTATTGATGAGTTGCATATGTTGTTGCGATAGATAATCATCTAGAAAATCTGTATACATGGTTTGCAGTATTGCATTTCGAGATAGCCTCCTTTGCAAGTGTTCGTGCAAAACTACCGCGTCACGTTGTGTAGGGATGAGTTGCCTCAAGTCTTCGTCACGTTTAACAGGCAGGCGAACAATGTAACGCCCGTCTTTCCTTCGGCGTGTGGTGTTTTGAAAATACTCTTCGACGTAGCGTTCGTCTTCAGTGTAACAAGCCACTGTGTTCAGCTCTTCTATCTCCCAGAATCGGCGGAGAGTCCGATGAATATCAATTTGAGCATTGTGACACTCAACCGTATGCTTAGTGCATGACTAGTGCATGTTCGTGGTAACCTCCAAACACAACCCAACCCAACTGCGTATTTTGAGCAATAAGGTTATTTGTGCGGCTACGACGTATTCCACTTAACAATACTTCGGCGTAAATTTCAGCATTAAGAATCATGTCGATGGATTGAGGAATGGTGAGCTTTGGATCCGCTAAATCCAGGTCGCTAAAATGTTGCAGCCCACTGGCTCCGATTCTCAACGTAGGAGTTATGTTGCCTACCCAAGGTAGTACGAGTGCTGTGCATGGCTTGTTGACGTTATTTTTGAGAGAATGTAAGGTGAAACTGACCAGACCTTTTACAGTGGCGACTCCGCTGCCGCTAGCTCCATTTATAGATACCTTAATATTCGATATGGGCAAATTTAGTAAATTGACTGAATACTCACTTACAAATGCTGCCTCTGCTCCACTGTCGAGTAATGCCCGAAGTACCGTTGTATGTCCACGTTCGAACCGCACTTCAACCAATGCGGTACCTAGTACTACTTGTGGAAGAGAGCATTTATGTTGTGTCTGAGTTACATGGTGTGCTGATACAGGCCTTGTGTTTCCGGTAGCCGGGTTTAAACTAAAGTAATCATGCAACATGGTGTGATACTTTGCGTTACAGGTGTAACAACGCCTCTCAGAGGGACAATGAGATTGCTGATGGTCACCTCGTAGGCAGTTTATGCATAACTTTTGCTTCAGTATATGGTGATATCGCTCGTGAGGCAATTGTTTTCGCCATAAACATAATAAAGTGCTTGCCGGAGAAGCTAGAGCAACGCCCAGATGTAGTATGGTAACCCGATAGTCCGTGTGTGGCGTTAGATTTTCTCGTCGAAGTTTCCTTTGTTTGGTGTTTATCTTCAGTGAAACTCTGGACTATCTCCAGAGACTGCGTTCGGCTTGCAGAAACTCTTCCAGTTCCTTAAAGATAGGAATGCTGTCGTTGGATTTTAGGGAAAGCTCCCATGCCTTTATAGTGATAGGGTCCAACTTATGAACGATTATAAAAATCAACCAGTCATCCCCTAGCTCGACGGGACGGTCAAGATGTTTTAGTGCACGTATTGACGACATTGCACCATCAAGAAGGCTCCTCAGCGCGGAGGCAGACTCCTTCTGAGCCGAAGGCAGCTTTGTTAAAGCTGCTAAATGTGCATTGATGATAACACGTTTATTTTCATATTTAGATTGCAATAGATCTCAAGCGATCTTAAAGTTAGCATCAGTTGTTGTTATGTTAGCTAGTACGTTATTAACCTCTCCAATGAGGCTATCTTTCAAGTACTGTAAGCGCTGCGTATTTGTAAGCGCCGTA